GGTGTCCAGTCCTGGCCTTTTCTTTTAGGGCCACTATCCTGCATGTTTTCTCGATCAGGGGTGTCCAGTCTTGTTCTTTAGGGCCAATATCCTGCATATTTATCAGGCGTTTCCAATCCTGGTCCTGGAGGGCCACTGTCCTGCATGTTCTAGATCAGGGTTGTCCATTCATGTTCTTTAGGGCCAATATCCTGCATGTTCTAGATCGGGAGTGTCTAATCCTTGTCCTGGAGGGTCACCATCCTGCATGTTTTATATCAGGGGTGTCCAATCCTGGTCCTAAAGGAGCCACTATACTGCATGTTCTAGATCAGGAGTGTCTAATCCTTGTCCTGGAGGGTCACTGTCCTGCATGCTCTAGATAAGATAAGCTCAGGGATGTCCAGTCCTGGTCTTTTCTTTTAGAGTCACTATCATGCATGTTTTCTCGATCAGGGTTGTTCAATCCTGTTCTTTAGGGCCAACATCCTGCATATTTTAGACTAGGAGTTTCCAATCCTGGTCATGAAGGACCACCATCTTGTATTTTCAGATTAAAGGTGTCCAATTATCGTCCTAAACAAGCCACTATCCTGCATGTTCTAGATCAGCGGCCCTAAAGGGGGCACTATCATGCACATTTCATATGTTTTGCTGCACAACACACCTGGTTTGAATCAATGGGTGATTAATAGGCTCCTGCAGAGCATGAAGTAATCCAACCACTGAATCTAAGTTGGAGCAGGAAAATAAGTAAAACTTACAGGATAGTGGCCCTTGAGCACCAGGATTGAACATAGTATAGAAGATCAGCCAATTGACTTTCAATCGTTGGGGAATAAATTTAAGATTTTAAAGTGTGTTGGCTACCCAGAAGTCTTGGTATGCCAGTTTGTCAATTCAATCCAAAATTGCACTTGGAGTTATAAATAAGGGTTTGCAGGTAAATCTAAAACAATCCTGACTTTTAGGCCTCAGATTGCTCCACCCTCATCAAGTTGGTTAGAATGTGTGGTATATGCACGACTAGGAGCTTCTGAGGTATTCTGGAGTGTGTGTGTCTGATTGGGAGATTACAAGAGGCAGCTCAGACTTGGTGTAATCCTGCTGCAGTCTGCAGTTGGACCAGAGAATTAAACTCCTTCTGGACTCAGAATTTAAATGAATGTAGAGAAGAGTCATTTAATCTTTTAAAAAGCCACACTTTGTAAAATAAAGAGGTCCAAACGTATACATGTGAAGAAACTTCACAAAGATGACTTTTTGTCTTTGAAGCTCTGTCAATTTGTCATTGATGTGTGCTATTTTTATTCCATCAGTACTGTTACATAAAAATACATTTCTTTTGTCCCTATTTTGCTTTTGTTCCTCTCAGCCCTTTGAGGTGGGCGACCTGCTGCAGGGACTGAACTTCTCTAAAGTCCTGAACACCCTGGTTGCCCTCAATAAAGCCACGGAAGGTAAACTGTTCCATGTTCCCAGTTTCTGTCCGATCTTTAGCTCTCCTCTGTCTTTTACCAGCTCCTCGTGTTCTAATGTATTCTGGTAATATCTTTAGTTTGTTTTTAATAAATGATTATTGTTTGGCTTGCGATGGTTTGCACATTTAGGCACTTCTGGTGAAGGCGTATGCGCGTCGCACACCTCGAACTCGAGGATCAAATCGTTTGACTCCCTGAACACTCAGAGTCGCTCGTCCAAAGCGCTGCAGCTTCAGCCCCGCAGCCTGGTGAGTCAGCATGGCAGTGACAGCGTCACAGCTCGAGCAACGACTGCATGTTAACGGTTTCTGGGCCCCCTCGCTCACAGGACATGGCAGATGGCAGCGGGTGTGGCCAGGTGCTGGTCAAAGCACGTTTTCCCTTCCGTCAGACCAATGAGGACGAACTCTCCTTCTCCAAGGGTGACGTCATCAGTGTGTCCAGGCAGGAGGATGGGGGCTGGTGGGAAGGTTCGCTGAATGGCCAGTCTGGGTGGTTCCCCAGTAACTATGTACGGGAGCTGAAAGGGAATGGTAGGTGCAGCTCCTTTTTTTACCCCTTCACAAGAAAAGCTCCTTATTGCTTTGATCACAACTTTCAGAGAGGCTAATTACACCAAGAAGACCGTTCTGAGATTATATCTTAAATAGGCCGGCAAAAGTTTGTGAAATTAAACAATTGTTACTTTATGTACGGATATTACTTGTGGTGTACCACAAGGCTCTGTATTGGGTGCTCAATGGTTAATTTTATACATCAATAATATAAGTAACATGTTCAGGTTTAGCATCAATTTAAGTTGAAACAATATATAAGATCAGTGGTAAACTGTAGCAGAAAAGTTTTTTTATGATTCTGATATAAAATCTGTGGTCTTTTTTTTATATATGCCATTCAAACGCTGGTATATTATGTCTCTGTCTGTAAACTTTCACTTGTCCTGCCCATAATTTCAAATCTGCTCAAGATAATTTGATGAAACGTCATGCTTGTATGCATCATCAGTAGATGGAGCGACCCTAGCTTCAAGGTCAAGGTCACAAATCAAGGTCAAAGGTTATACAAGGTCTTTGCTCGTCCGGTTCATTGCTATAGATTGCTGTATAATAGTATGTTGACAAGCATATGATGTTCTGTATGAGGTACTGTTGTTCTGCCAGGGTTTCTTCTGTTTTCTATTGTTACAAGATGGAAATGAACAGGTTCAGAAACGCAAACACACTGAATCATAAACTTCCTGTGAGTCTGTACTGATGTAACTTCCTGACTTCTGAAATCATTTCCTAAAGCTCAAGCAAGTCATCCCTGGGATTGACTGAAACTTGTACACAGAGTTAGTTAGTTGTTCTTATAGGACGCTTTCACCGTTTCTTGCTTCATTTATAGGTTTACAAATAAATAAATAAATAAAAATACAAGAAAATGTATTTTATTGTTAACATACAGTACCTGTCCTGAGTAGCAAAGCTAATAAAATTTCAGTAGCTGCAGTGTCTTTCTGATCCGTTCCTCATATCATTGTCTTGTTTAGCTGTTGGGAGGAGGGAAGGCAGAAAGCCTCACAAGGACACAAAGAAAGAGAGGAAGTTCCAGAGATGCTTTAGAAAAAGGAACTTCCTGGCTTCAAGATCGAAGCAGAAAAACAAGAACCACCAAAACCGCTCACGGAAAGACGGCAGCGACTTTATACTGCTAGTTGAAGGGTTTTACAGGCTCACCTTTGAGATTAAAATAAAAATATGAAAAATATAATAATAATATAATATAACGTAATATAAATATGAAAGCTGCTGGATTTCTTGTTAAAGTGAAATGAAAGAAAAGCAGAGAGTCTTTCATGGCAGTTTGACGTCAGGCAACAAACCTCGAAAAGCTCATTAGAAAATGATAATTATCCAGACTTCTTGTTTAATCAGAAGCTTTAACAACAGAAGCCCGGACTGGGTTGTCCCGGCATGACGGAGGCGACGTCCTGCTGGGAGGATCAGACAAAATGCTGCTCTGCTGATGGGAAAAGCCACAAAATAAAGATTTTCTTGTCTTTTTCCATACAAGATGGACATTTTATGGTTCATGTTCTGTATGTCCATACATTTTCGTTTATCTTGCTCATAACTTCTGATCCACCCAAGATGATCTTGGGTGGATATATGATCTTCAGTGAGGGGTACCGCAGGGCTCCATTCTTGGACCACTTATCATTTCTTTATACCTGCTGCCACTAGGTGCTGTTTTTCATAAGCATGGCATCCCTTTTCATTTTTATGCCGATGACTGTCAAATTTACTTCCCTCTGAAGCACACTGGTGCACACTCTATCCAACCTCTTCTTTACTGCCTGGCTGACATCAGGGATTGAATAGTTTTAAATTTCTTAAAGTTGAACGAGAAGAAGACAGAAGTCGTGTTGTTTTCACCTAATGGCACAATCAGGAAACACGGTATCAACCTTTGCTCTCTCGCCCCGTTAGAGAAACAAGTTGTCACTAATTTGAGAGTGAAAATGGACCCTTAAATGAAACTAAACAGTCAACACGATTGTTAAATCCTGTTTTGGGGTTTTTTCAGTTGAGACGACTGTCTAAATTGAAGCCCATACTGTCCAAAAGTAATCTTGAGACAGTAATACATACTTTCATAACATCCAGGCTTGATTACTCTGATGTTCTTCTTTATGGAATCAGTCAGACCTCTATTGCATGTTTATAACTGGTTCAAAATGCTGCAGCCTGATTTGTAACTGGTACAGGCAAAAGAGAACACAGTACTCCAGTTTTGGCTTCCCTTTACTGGCTCCCGGTTCACTTGCAAATTCATTTTAAAATCCTTTTGTAAGTTTTTTAATCTTTTAATAGTTTTGCCCCCTCTTATCTCGCTGATCTGCTGCAGCCATATGTTGTACCGCACTTTGGTTGGCCTTGCTGCTGTTTTTAAGTGTTTCATAAAAAAGTGGTATGGTAATATAATTTAATGAAACTTCATAAGCATTTGCATCACAACTAGACAGAGAGTTGCATGCACTTTACATCACCCCAGTTATGCGGTCAAGGTCACAAATCAAGGTCAAAGTTAAAACAAGGTGCTTGCTTGTCTGGGCCGTAACCTCTGATCCACTCAAGAGAATTAGATGATTTTGTAACAACTAGACGATGTGTCGCGTTATCTTTACATCACCTCAGTTCTAAGGTCAAAGATTCAAACAAGGTATTTTAGACTGCTGTATAATATTGTGTCGATGAGTGTATAATGAGCCGTATGCCGTGCTTTTGTTTAATGAAATCTGCCTGGAGAGAATCCTCCTTGAAACCAGGACAGCCAGCGCAAAGCAGCGCAACGCGATGATTCGTTTGGCCAGGGCTGTCTTTGTTGGTTTTTCTTGTTGGCTTTTTAAAAATGCTTATTTTTCCAGTAAAATAATAATTTTTGTGACCATTAAATGTCCCCTTTGTTGTGTTTTTAGATAAAACGGTCGACAAGCCAAAGCCCGGGATGCTGAAGAGTCCACCCAAAGGCTTCGACGCCGCCATCATCAGTAAAACTTATTACAACGTGGTGAGTATTAAAGCTCGACTAAAGCCACGGAGGATTGTCTCGTGTCTACTTGTTTTTTTGAAGTATTCTTCTGTCACGTTAAATGAACAATCAAAGAGTGCGTCTGTGTCTGTGTGAACTCATCGTGGAGCCTGGGCGGCGTCCCTGCATGTGTCGGGCTGCAGCAAATGTAGGTTATTTCTTCCAGTCCGCTGGTTTCTGGGGCAGCCTCGCCTCAGGGTCTGCTCTCTCTGGTGGGTGTATATATATGAATGTTTTAATAATAAAACAAGATGTCCCCGCCTCTCTAGGTACTCTTATCTCTGGTACCTGCATCACTTTTATCTTCTGCCTGAAGTCAAAGTTACAGACAAACCCCAGCATAGAAGCTTGTTTCGGTATAAAATGCTGACTTTGGGTTTTTATATTTCATGTATTTCTGCTTAGACAGTTTGTAATAAAGACCAAAGTGTAGATTTCCTGTATGAGGCCGTGCTTTAAGTGGGGCTTTAAGTCTTTTAATGTGAACCTTTCTGAACCATTCTTATTATTCAGATCTGTTTTTCTTCTGTACGTTTTTCATCACGCAACTCGTTCCGCAGTTTTAGTTCTGTTTCAAAAATTCATGTCTCAAAATGTTCGGCTCCTTCAGGACTTTCCTGCTGTGACTTTTTGTATTTGTGCAGTTTTTACTTTTTGAAATATTTCACTATGTTGGCCATGTTTTTCCTCTTTGAAAATGAATGGAGCTTTCTTCATGTCCTTTGTTGTTTAAAACCTTTACTGCTCATTTCAGCTTCTTTCTGCTAAATTCATTTTTTATTTTTTTTTAGGTATTTTTCTGCCATTTTTTTCTTTTAATTTCCACTTTTTGTAAATCTTTCCAAAAAATGTAAACAAAAAAAAATTCCTTCCAGCCTCTTTCTCCTACTTTCAGCTCTTCTTTTTGCATTTTCAGCTACATTTTTGTTGCCAATTTCAGATTATTTGTAATCTATTCAACCTTGCTCTGCCTGTTTCAGCTCATTCTGCTACATTTTTGCTCTGTTTGGCTCTTTCTTCACACTTCAGCTACTTCCTGCTTTTATTTTCCTGCTCTCAGCAAACGTCAGCTGTTCAGAGATGAAAAACAACTCAAGACTCATTTCAACCTGACTGGATTGTTTTAGATCTACATTTGAACAGTTTGTCCCAGGAGAAAATATTACCTTGAACTCACAGCTCTGTTTCTTCCAACTGAGAGGTCTTCTTTACGGAGCCCCCGAGGGGACATTGAGATTTTTTTCTTTTTCGTTACCTCGTAATACTTTTGCGTTATGTCGAATAATTTTGCCGTTACCTTACAATACTTTTGCGTTACCTTGCAATACTTTTGCGTTATGTCGAATAATTTTGCCGTTACCTTGCAGTACTTTTGCGTTACCTCAAAATACATTTGCGTTACCTGGCGATACTTGTGTTACTTTGCAAATACTTTTGAATTACCTCAAAATATTTTTGCGTTACCTCACAATACTTATGAGTTACTTTGCAATACTTTTGTGTTACCTCACAATACTTGTGCGTTACCTTGCGATACTAATTCATTACTTTGCTAATACTTTTGAATTACCTCACAATACTTTTGCATTACCTTGCAATACTTCTGTGATACCTTACAATACTTTTGCGTTACTTCGCAATACTTTTGCGTTACCTCAGAATACTTTTGCGTTACCTCGCAATACTTTTGCGTTATCTCGCAACATTTTTGTGTTACTTTGCAATTATTTTGCATTACCTCAAAATACTTTTGCGTTACCTCACAATACTTATGTTACCTCGCAATACTTATGCATTACCTCACAATAATTTTGTGTTACCTCAAAATACTTTTGCGTTACCTTACAATACTTTTGCGTTACCTTACAATACTTATGCATTACCTTGCAATACTTTTGCGTTACCTCGCAATATTTTTGCGTTACC